TGGTCTTATTGTACTTAACCAATTAGCAACTGATAAGATATAACATTAAGAAAAAAATGTAGCTATTTGATCCAGGACCAATTAGAGATAATTTTTGGAATCTGGAATTGAAGCCATGGTAATTTTTTTGCGAGTTGATTACAATAACAGAGGGTTTTTGAATTTCAAGTTTGTCTTTTATTATGAATAATAATTGTATTACTATTTTATTATTAATATAGTATATAGATGACAGGCTAACAATTTGTAAACAGTTTTAGTAGTTTAAAACTTTTTTGGCCTGTTTGCAAGGGATGGGAAATTAATACTATTGTATTATATTAATCAGCATTCAACTAGGTAGAATTTTATGTTTATATGTGTTAGTCTTCTTTCCTATTTTGTTTTGTTTGTTGTATTTTTTCTTTTGTTTTTAAATTTTTTTTGGTGTTTTATATTTTAACCTTCTTTGAAAAAACTAAATGTTATGAATGTAAGTCCAAACAGAAAATATGTCAGCATTAATTATTTTTACATTCTAAAGGAAAATGCATTTTCTGTTTGTTTGCTGAGTAATGTCACAATTGGAAATATTTAATTAATCAAATATATAGTTGGAATTATTTACATAAATCAATTAATTCTATTTGTCAGCCTTGTGAAGCCAGGCTTGATTCATGGATATACAATACACATATTTTATTTTAGCCATTTGCAGGTAGCATAGCATGAAAACATTAATGAAATTAGATTTTGGACTCAAAAATCTTCATGTACAAATGTGAATTTAAGCAGACTTGACAGATCTTTTGAGCAATTTATCTTGATAAGGATATTATGCCAGCAGCAAGGGTTATTTTTTTTAGTACAGTGACAGTCCTCTGTTTTCTGCCAGTTTTCTATTTTGATGTTATATTTCAAATGCATATGATTGAATTTGCAATAAATTCAAATATAGTTTACAATAAGTTTAAAGGTGATAGCATGAAATATAAAACAATATATTAGGCCTCCACAAAGCTTCAGACAAATCACCCCACTGAAGCAGGTACAGTATATTTAAGGATACAGTATTTTTACTTACTGGATTAAAGTAGCTGCATTTTGGCTGCTTCTCAAATTATTGCTTGAACTTTTGTGAAAGTTATCTCCTTCAAAACAAAGCCACTGCCATTCTGGATTAGCCCTATCTTAATACTTTGCAAAATGTATCAGCAACACTTGGCTTTAGGTTCTGGAATAGAATACCTCACCATAAAACTCAAATTAATAGATCATATTTGCTGTGCAATAAATTATCATTGACTACACTAGACTAGACTAGACTAGACTAGACTAGACTAGACTAGACTAGACTAGACTAGACTAGACCAGACCAGACCAGACCAGACCAGACCAGACCAGACCAGACCAGACCAGACCAGACCAGACCAGACCAGACCAGACCTGGAAGGGACTTTGGAGATCTTCTAGTCCAGCCCCCTGCTCAAGCAGGAGAACCTATACTATTTCAGATAAGTGACTGTCTAGTCTCTATTCCATTTCAGAATAGGAACTGGCAATTATGCAAGTGAAGAACATACATTGCATATGAGAGTTGTATTTTGTTGCCAGAAGGCTTTCTGGGAAGAAAATGGTTTAATAGTCCGCAAGAGATTCTTAAAGCTAAGAACCTGAAAAGCAACAATTAATTGTATGTGCATAGGTGAAATATGTGATGATCAGACACATAAAACATAAAATGTAGAATCATAGGGCTGGAAGGGAACTCAGGAGTCTTGTAGTCCAACCTCGCTGCTCATGTCCGGAGACTTTATACGATCCCGGTCAAATGGTTATTCATCTATTTTTGAAAACCTGCATTGATAGAGTACTCGTAAATCCAAGAGGCAAGCTATTTCATAGATTAATTGTTCTCACTGTTAGAAAATTTCTCCTTATTCTCTTGGCTGGATGTCTCTTTAACAAGCATTTACCCATTATTTCTTGTCCTTCTCTCTGGTGCCTTGGAGAATAAGTTAATCCAGTGAAATATCAGTTTATAGACATGAGCTAATGTACACCCCATCCATTAAATCTGAAGCTGTTTCATTTGTGCAATGCCATTACATAAATGAAATAATTTGCATAAGTCTAGATCATTTGTTTAAAGATAGTATATAACTTCATCAATAATATCTAAGATAGATGATTCAATCTCATAAAACATAAAGAACTTGCTATCATAGGTAATGATGATATAAAAAATACCAAAAGTATTGGAAAGAAATACATAGTGTAGCGGGAAAAAACCTTAGAATTTAAATTTTAATATATATTTCACTGACTCATACTCATTTCCCCCATGCAAAAACTCTAACTAAAAGAAATGCAACCTTTTTATATTGTTTGCATGCTTAAGGATCATATGTTCAACCAATAACCAATGAAACAAATATATGTAGGACCAATAGAAGTAGTACATGTGGCCCAATATGTTTATCTTGTTTGCAAAAACATCTATTCATACAGATTTACTATATATAAGGAAGGTTGCGTTTGACATGCATTTTAAATCAAATCAATCTAATGTTAAAGTACAGATTTATACATTAGTACCCTTAAGAACCACATATCTTAATGTCTTTTAATGTGTAATTAGTTCAGCTATTATCTAATTGGATAAAATTTCTGAATCTAACTTGCCCAAGTCTACCAGCTCCCAATTATTGATATGTTATGACCAATGTTGATATGATTGTTGGCTTGATTCTGGTTCTTACTTATTTATACTATCCCTACTTCAAATCATGTCACAAAACACAGAAAAATGTATTTATTTATTGCATGCTGCTTCAATTCTAATAGACTTCACTATGCTGGTAACTGGATGAAGTAAAGACTAAATAATTTGTCATTCATGTAATGATGAGCTGAGGTGATGTAGTGGTTAGAATGCAGTATTTCAGGCTAACTCTATCCACAGAGCCAGGAGTTAGATCCTGAGAGGGCTTGAGGTTGACTCAGCTTTCCATCTTTCCAAAGTCAGTAAAGTAAGGACCCAAATTGTTGGGGGCAATATGCTGTAAACCACTCAGAGAGTGCTATAAAGCACTATGAAGCACTATATAAGTCCAACTGCTATTGCTAATTACCTAATAACATCGCATGACATCACATGAATTAATGACATTAATTGCATCAGTTACTCTCATTGGATGCAAACACTTTTCTATTATTTTGAAATACAAGTCTCCCTGAAAAATTGTCCTTTGCATCCAAAATCTATGAAAGTATGGTCTGTTAAATCAAGGATTTTCTGTATTAGTAGGAATGACTTTATATGAAAAATCAAGCTTCTTTAAGCATCATCTCTAACTCATTTTGAAGAATGGCTTAACTTCCATCTTAATGCCAATAGAACTGAAATTGGCTTCAAAGTGAGTTCAAAGTGAGTTCGAGAAGTACCTAGCATCATGAAAATTAGTACAGGAAAAAGTCACTAGCTATGATCTCGTCAACCCTGTAAAACTGGTAAATTCAGGAAACAAGCACCATTTGGATTTCTGGAAAGATCTTTGCTGCTAGAAAAGATAATGTCACCTAATCTTGAAAGCCTGTCAAAGCAATTCTCTTGTTCAACTTATACTTATAATTAATGTGGAGATGATTTGAGAGCCTCTTTCATATACATCCCCTCTCCCTTGGGCTGAGGTATCTTTCTCTAACAGCTCCTATTTCCTCCTCCACTTTTTCAGAATCAGTTAGACATTCCATCACAAGTGTCATGTTTTAACAACTTCCCACCTCCCTTCACCCAGTTCATATCATGCTGAATTTTTTTTAGTTTTAGATATAGTGGTAAATCTCTCTGTAGCTTGGGTGTAGGATGAGGAGGAAGGTTCATTCTCCGAGCTTGTGGGTTGGTTTCTGAATGTTTCATTACCAGGCTAGGTAACATCTTCAGTGGAGTTTAAGTCCTTATAAACAGAAAAACACTGACACTGCCATCCTCCAAATTCCACTGAAGATGTTATCTATTCTGGTAACGAAACACTTGGAAACCAACCCACAGGCTTGTGTTTCTGGGCCTGCAAATAATATCTTATTATTAAGAGCCGAGGTGGTGCAGTGACTAGAGTACAGCACTGCAGGCTACTTCAGCTGACTGTTAGCTGCAGTTTGGCAGTTCAAATCTCACCGGCTCAAGGTTGATTCAGCCTTCCATCCTTCTGAGATCGGTAAAATAAGGACCCAGATTATTGGGGGCAATATGCTGACTTTGTAAACCGCTTAGAGTAAAAGCATTAGGAAGCCTAAGCCTATATAAGTCTAAGTGCTATTGCTATTGCTATCTTTCAGAATAATATGTTGACAAATGTTAGCTAAAATGAACCTTGAAAGCAAACTGCTGTCCAACCAAGCAGAGTTGAAGACAGACAAGATTCATAAGGAAAATTGATTCAGAAGATATGTGCCCCTAATTACTCCTAACATCAAAGAAAGATTTATATTGCTGTATAATTTCAAGAATATAGGATTGGAGGAGAGGAGATGCTGGAAGGCCCAAACCTTTGATGTAAACCACTTTCCAGGTTGAGTTTATTAATGCAGCCTTTCCTAAATAGCTATGCCTGTTCACAGATGCACATATTACCCACTTCCCCTGTTGCCACATGGGAGAGCAACCAATATCTCGAAGTCAGAAATAGAAAATTTTGCTCTCTATTGATTCTCCAATCACCATGAAAGTGACATCCAGGGGGTGTTTTTGTGCTCCACTTCTGAAATTACTCTTTTCCATTTTATGTTGCTTCAACTCTCCTATTTGATTAGAATAGATTAGAATGCTTGAGTTGTTGCAGGCTAACTCTGGCAGTACATTGACAACTTTGCAGAGAAAAGTAAGCTTTCATTTGAGTCAATACTAACTATGTTCTGAGAGACTCCTCCCCCAAGATGGCTGCTGCCTGGTAGGGAATTTTTTTTGACCCTGCCAACAATCTGTTGTTTTTATTGTCCAGACAGGTTCTTTGGCAGTATTGCTCCCTGCATTTGAATGGGAGCGCTTAGGAATGACCCAAGACATCTTTTGGATAGCCGTGGGCCTACCCAGGAAGGGGAATCTTGAAGATTGAAGCTTCCTGTGAGAGCACCCAGAAAGTATTTCATCTTCTTCCTATCAGTAGAACATTCTCATAAATAAGCCTGAGTTTTAACTTCACTTTTTCAAGTTTTGTTTTGTTCTTTATCTTTAAATGTTAATTGGCTGACTGAATGCTAATTTATTTTAACCCCCTGCTGGATTTTATGTGTTTCTTCTGCTTTTTTTCTTTGACCCATTTGGCTGTTCTCATTAACTTCTGCTTTTCCACATGAAAACATGGCATATGCCTTTGGATGGTTAAAGCGCTTCTACTTGATTTATATTTTATTCAATATTTACCACAGAAAATTTGAACTTTTTTAACTTACAAAAAGTTTTTGAATCAAAGTATACAGAAAATATTTTCCCTATTCTTATATCCCCCCCCCCCGCTCTACCTGTCTATTATATTGAGCAACAACATATCAGATTATAGAGGGAAGGAGGCTGTCACATGGGGGGGAAAAGACTGCTTGGCAACACTCAATCTTTAGCTGGAAGATTTTCTAAAAATTTTGATGAACTCATAAGATTCTAGCAAACACTCAGAGGAAACTGACTGAAAATAAATCAAATCCACAAAATGAATATGAATTCAAAACAGTAGATTCGTTCAGAAGAAATATGGACTCAGAAATAACAGTCTGTGGAAAACATTCAGAGGCAAAAGGAATGTGATTTCAAAGCAGTAGATTGGTTGAAAAGAAGAAAAATGGACTCAGAAGTAATAGTCAATTTCATATATCTTCCTCAAATCCAAGTCTGTACTTCTACATAATATTAGAAAACAACCTGGATGGATAAGTGGCAAATTAATCTTTTTAAAGTGGATTGAATGAGATTGGGGAATGAATCTGTTATATTTAATTGGGGAACAATTTCATCTGGATTTTGGGGAGAAGATAGACTTGCTTTGGAGATTGAATTTATTGTACTCAATCAAACAATAATTTTGTTTTCTTTGATGTGGTTTTCAATCTTTTCTTTCAGCATTTTCGCCAGATCACTTAGCTCTACTCTTTCGAGTTGTTGCACAGGAAGATCTTCATCCTGTATGTTAGTTTCTTCTGCTGGCTGGTCAGTTTGTTCAGGTGTTGGAACAGTTTCTTCAGCTTGTTCATCATTACTTGTTGTTTTCTTTTTAGCCAATGTTTCTAGATGTTGCATTTCCACATCTGTGAAAACTTTATTATGGATGCTGAAATGTCTTTGATCCATTAATCTTTGTTCAGTTACGTTACTTTCTGGGTGTTTTTCCTTTCACACTTGCATCATTCTTTTTTGAAATTCTCTGGCTGTTGGTTTGATGATTTCTCCATTTTCTTTGATTGTCCAAGTTTTGCGCTTTTGTTCCAATCGCTTTGCAGTTGCAGCCCTGATTTCCTAGCAGTAGCAACTGAGCACTGTAGCCCATTTTTTTGACAGATGTCTAGGAGCCATAGCATCTGATGTGGCCCTTATTGATCCCAGTGACGACCGATTTGGTGCAGTGTTTTGTTGATTTCTTTTTATCATTGGTGAGGGTAGGTGCCTAGGTTGGTTCATAGTGGCTAAGCCACTACCGATTATGATGATTATGATGATTATGATCATCATCATCATCTATTTTGTTATTAATATAGTATATAGATGAGAATTTGTAAATAGATTTAGTAGTTTAGTAATTTAAAATTCTTTCAGTCTGTTTCGCAAAGGGTTGGAAACTTATATTGTTGTAATACATTAATCAGCATTCAACTAGGGAGGACAATATGTCTTCCCTAGTTGAATGTATGACAATATGTCCTCCCTAGTTGAATGTCCCCAGAACTGTTATGTGTTAGTTTCTTTTTTAAAATGCATTTTTAAAAATGTCTTGTTTGGTCTGTTTTTCTTTTGTTTTTTTCTAAATACTTTGGTGTTTGTATTTTACCTTTTTTTTGAAAAAAATAAAGTTTTCCCAAAAAAATGCTATGTCCCTAATAACTTTTTAAGGCAGACTTTTTTTTAAACACAAATGCTACTGCTTTTGCTATTATTATTATTATTATTATTATTATTATTATTATTATTATTATTAGATCGTTACACAGTCAGCCAGATATTCACACTGGATATGGCATTTTTATCCACCTATTAAGTCCTTCCCAAATTCTGGGTTAGGCAGATGTTGTTGTTGTTTAATAGTAGTACTCCAAATGTTTTGAGTCTGTGCCAGGGGTGAAATTCACTTACCTTCCCTACTGGTTCGCAAATGTGTGTGCGCTGTGTGCGCACTTGCTTCGCTCGCATGTGCCGTTTTCCACACATGCACAAAGCAAAGGTTTAAAATTGTCGCAAAAAAGCAATGTCATTACATTTGTGTAGGTAGGCAGAGCCTCCCGCAGCCGCCACTACCAGTTCACCTGAGCCAGATAGAACCGACTGAATTTCCCCCGTGGTCTGTGCCCAAGACAATCATCAATGTTGACATATATTGCTATCTTTGCTTTCCTTTGCCACTGTCATTCTATTTCTATTTTCGGGCCTTTGTGTTTTATGATTTTCTCCAATCCTTTCTATTCTGCTGTATTGCTACATCAAGTATCCAATCTTTTTTATCTTTTTTATCAACAATTGTTAATTGTTAAGTGTTAACTCAAGTGGTAGATGGCAGAGCCTGAGTGGCGTAGGAGGCTAATGCCTCCTACTAAGGCAGCATTTAACATCCAGCTGCCTGCAATTACTGCGAGTTCAATTCTCACCAGGCTCAAGGTCGACTCAGCCTTCCATCCTTTCTAAGGTGGGTAAAATGAGGACCCGGTTTGTGGGGGCAATAAGCTGACTTTGTATAAAATATACAAAAGTATGAAGGCTATTGCTTAACGCACTGTAAGCCGCCCTGAGTTTCCGGAAAAGGGTGGCATATAAAAATAAATAAATAAAAATAAATAAAAATAAAAATGTTTGGCTGTATGAGTTCTAAAGTTCCAGAGCACATTAGCTTCTTCATTTTCTGAGGGGTCCTTGGTGCTCTCTGAAGTTGACTATTTTCTTGCAGAAGTTTCATTACCAAACTGGGTAACATCATCAGGATTAAAAGGGAGTGGGCTTTGCTGTCATTTTATATACTAGTGGCTTGCCCTGTCAATGTTTGTGGGAGTGATCTTGGTGGCTCCTTGATTATGCTGTTTATTTGTTCATTAGTAGTTAGTAGTAATTAGTTAGTAGTTCCTTCATTGGGGTATTACTTATTTCTTGATTGTTGGTGTAGTGTTAATTTTGGTATAATTTACAGAGTTTTATACTTTCTGGCTTAAAAGAGCCATTGTGCTTAGAACTTTAAAACTTTGACCTTTATCAACTCCTTCCCAATGAAACTCCAAAAAGACTTTGAAATATCTTCATGGTCTCAACTGGCCCATTTTGTTCTAACTCTTCAGTCTTCACTTCTCAGGCAGGAAAAAGATCCATTGACTTTTGAGTAATGTCCTTTCCGTCTTGGTGAAGTTTGATTAGGAATGAATGACCTCGCCAAGGCTGCAGGCTAGGTTGCTCTACCATTCCCTTTCCATAATCATGTATGAATGGGCATAAATAAACAGATGGACAATGTGTTCTATGGCTTATGCATATAAAATGGTTCATTAGACCAGGTCAGCAGCCTTTAAAGAGAACCTCTATAAAATGTTTTACAGATATCAGCAGCTAGGCTGTTGGTAGCACAATACTGGAAGAAGGACTCTTTGCCTACTATTGAAGAATGGACATTGAAAGTAGCGAATTTAGCGGAAATGGCAAAAATTTCAGCGTATTTGAAGGACTATACACAAGAAAGATACATATCGGAATGGAGAAGATGGATTGATTATATTCAAAATAAGTATCAGACAAGAAAATATCAAATAGCTTATGAATGAATGTTAAATTCTAGCCATAGCGGAGTTAAGGTTTCAGGGGGGATTTTGTAGTTTAAGAATAGTTAGGTTAATTTAGCTTATGATTGTTAATTGAAATACCCTGTAGTTTGCTCTGGGAAGTCTGGGGGGGAGGGTGGGATGGGAAGGAGGGTGGGAGTGGTGGGGAGGGAAAAAGGGTGGGAGGAGTATTGGGAGGGGGAAAATTTTCTTTGTAAAACTTTTCAATAAAAAAAAAATGTTTTACAGATGGCACCTACCACCAGCGAGATTGGCCAAAATGTTCCCGAACAGATCACCAGATTGCTGGAAATGCAGACAAGCTCAAGGAACTTACTATCATATGTGGTGGACGTGTCCAATAGCAAAAAAATATTGGATTAGAATACGAAAGTGGCTTGAGGAGATAATTAAACAGCAAATAGAATTGAAACCGGAACTGTTCCTATTAGGGATACTTACAGGAAATTATGATAAAAAAAATATTACATGTCATAACCGCAGCCAGGATTGTGTATGCACAAAACTGGAAAAATAATACTATACCATCAGAGGAAAGTGTGATAAGGAAAGTACTGGAGTGTGCTGAGATGGACAGATTGGCAAAAGAAATAAAAGATAAAGGAGAAACAGAGTACTATTTGGTATGGAACGTATAGTACAAATGGTTATCAGATAGGTGCAAAAGTTAAGAAAGTGTTAAAGAAAGAAGACTTTGGAGTTAGAAAATAGTATTAAATCTGTACAAATATAGATGACATAAAATGTATGTTTATAAAATGTATGTTTATATCAATATATTAGTATGTATAAAGAAGAATGGAACCACATATATAGATATGTAGACGTAAAGGGAAAAATGGATATATAACGGATCTTTACTGATGCGGAAATGTTGCAAAGAGGAAAATTGTTAAAAACTATTAAAAAATGTTCAATTAAAAAAATGGTTCATTGGATTGTCCTGGAATTTACTGATGTATGAGAATATATTTAAGGTTTATCAATGCTGAGTCAGAAAGGTTCAGAAGTGCTTTATGATAGGTTAGACTATACTGTAGTGAAGGATTCCAGTTGTTCAACACCTTTTTGAAACATATATATCTTCATTGTGAGGGCTGAGTCCGACATTTCATTTCTGTTTGCACTGCATCTTTGTAATATATCTTTGTAATATATCTGTAATATCTGCATATCTAATTTTTGTTCCCCTTTTCCCTATGTTCCATTCTCCCACAATTTAAATCATATATTTTAGCCTCTCTCTACCTCTGATGAAATGAGCTGCAACTTACAAAAACATATCCCACTTAATAAATTTGTTAGTTGGAAACAATGCTACCAAGGCCCATGGATTTTTCCATCTTTGGGGAAATATTTTATGTTTTGTCAAGGCAAATGTCTACACTATATTTCTCCTAGTAATGGTATAATATGTGATCTTTATTTTAAATGCCATTTGTCAGCCTATTTCATTCCATGTCTGTTAAAGAGGAGATGTGCTTTGTTTGCTGTTTAATAATAGCATTACCTGCAAAATTATTTTTTTAGAATGATGAGATATAGATGCCAGTGAGGGGAATAAGAGGCCAGACCACACCACCATGGTGCACTGTTCAAAACATTTGTTTTACACTATCATTATCTGTGCTGTGTACCTGCCATTTCAGATTACATTTCTTAATTATTTCCTGTAGCGTCAGATGATAACTTATACAAGAATATAATTAATCAGTAAAACACTCAAACAGTATGGAAGACATCTGAGGTACTTTCAGATGCTCTGTGAGTTCTAATTGACATTTTCATTATATTTCACCCCCCATTTGTTCTCTACTTGCTAAATACAAAATAAGATTTAAGTACATTCTTATCATTCCAAAGGGACTATGATTTATTATTAATCAAGATGTTATTTCTTGTCCTCTATTCTGGTGCTTTGGAGAATAAGTCCAAATAAGAACAAGCCCTTTGGAGAATAAATGAGAGAAGACAGTTACTATGTCTCCCCAATCCATCTTTTTGACAGGCTAGCTCTCTTAACTGTTCGTCATACAATTGAGCCACCAGACCCTTTATCACCTTTGATGATCTTCTATATATATTTATTTATTTTCTTACCTCTTTATTTATTTATTTATTTATTTTATTGAATTTTTATACCACCCTTCTCCTGCTGGACTCAGGGCGGTGAACAGCCAAGAATAAACAACATCCGATACAAAATTTAAAATTATTAAAAGAATTAAACAAATTTTGGCCCAGATATTAAAACATCCCAACTAAAATCCATTACGATTTAAAATATCTAAGGGGGGGGGGGTTACGCCAGCCCAGCTTGGTGAAATAGAAAAGTTTTGAGGGCACAGCGAAAAGCATGGAGATCTGGTATCTTACATATCTCCGGGGGCAGGTCGTTCCAGAGGGCAGGTGCTGCCACAGAGAAGGCCCTCCCCCTGGGGGTTGCCAGCCGACATTGCCTGGCTGACGGCACCCTGAGGAGTCCCTCTCTGTGGGAGCGAACTGGCCGGTGGGAGGCTATCGGTGGCAGAAGGCGGTCCCGTAAATACCCAGGCCCTGTGCCATGGAGTGCTTTAAAGGTGGTAACCAACACCTTGAAGCGCACCTGGAAGACCACCGGGAACCAATGCAGCTTGCTCAGGAGGGGTGTCACATGGGAGCGGCCCATCGCTTCCATAATCCCCCGTGCGGCCGCATTTTGCACCAGTTGAAGCCTCCGGGTGCTCCTCAAGGGGAGTCATGTAGAAAGCATTGCAGTAATCCAGGCGGGAAGTGACGAGAGCCTGAGTGACTGTGCGTAAGGAGTCCCGATCCAGAAAAAGACGCAACTGGCGAATCAGGCGAACCTGATGAAAAGCCCCCCTGGCCACGGCCGTCATATGCTCTTCTAAAGACAGCCGTGCATCCAGGAGGACGCCCAAGTTGCAAGCCCTCTCCGAGGGGGCCAGTAACTCGCCCCCAATAGCCAGCGATAGCACCATCTAGTTATATCGGGACGCCGGAAGCCACAGCCACTTGGTCTTGGAAGGGTTGAGTCGAAGCCTGTTTCTCCCCATCCAGACCCGCACGGCCTCCAGGCGCCAGGACATCACTTCAATATATATATTTTCTAGGTTCTCAGCATCTTTTTTGTATCATGATGATGAAAACTAAATGTAGTATTCCAAGTGTGGCTTTACTAGTGTGGTATAAAGTAGAACCATTTATCATAATCTTAAGACTATCTGCAGCCTAAGACTATGTTGGCTTTTTGGAAGCTGCAAAAACAAAGGTCAGCTCTAGAGAAGACTATTTAACCCCTGCAGCACAAGGGCTCTTTTCTATGCATCTCTACAAAGGACAATATAAATGATGTGGTTCTACTCAGGTGGTTCAAACAGCAGCTTTTGTTTTTTTTCTCCAAAAATTGCATGTAATTCAACATGATTTGAAAGGTAGCTCAATAATGTCAAACTTATTTTATTTTTGTGCAACACTTAACCTATCAGTCATCAAAAATGAACAATTTTGGATTGCTTAAAAAAAAACTCCTTTTTTCAATCTCAAGAGAATGTATGCCATGGAAACATAATTGCTAGGAATTTGACACCTAAAGAGATGCACTGTCTATGTGGCGAAGTGTCTGATTGTAAAGAATAAAGGATAATAAAAACAAAGCCAGCTGAGAAGCATCAAGGCAGCCTTCTGACAACAGTTGAAATATAGCATAATTCTGGATATGTAATTAGTGGGTGGCTTTCTGAAAAGATAATTCTGGGATATCTCAACATCTTGAGAGTTTTAAGCAAACATTGGAAGCAAGGTACAAGCAGCTGGAAATTTTCCATTATGGCTTTAAAAAAATCCACAATATTCTGCAAAATAGGGCTAGTTTGCTATGCTCAGACCAAGTCCTGATTTTGAAACTTTTTCTCAGGCTCTTAGTGGCTTGCCATGGCAAAGTCAGTCAAATCTGAATCACCACTGGAGTGGGGTAGGGATGGGGCTTTTCTCAAATTATATAAAAATTGTGGTTATTTGTTATTATGTAATATCTTATTTAGTTTTACATGTGGTATATAAATATATTCATATTTCCCGTACATATTTGGAGGCTTCCCAGATTACTACTTTACTCCACTAGCTGAATACTGGTTATTTTGATGAAACAGAGAGTGCACTCAGTTTTAACAGGCTTTTTTCCCACCCTTACTTTTGCAAAAAAGTATGTCAACATAAATTACATTGCCATCATGACAGAGGTTTAATGTATCTCAGCAACAAGGTTGAGCAATGCTACTGATATGCATACTTCTGATACATTCATATCACAGTGCTTAGTAGTGTTATTAAGCACAAATTACAGTTTGGCTCTACAAATAGGATTAAAAACTGAGTATTTCAAACAAGGACGGAGACTTGTTTACCAAATATAATAAAGGATATAATAATCCAGAAGGTAAAGGTGATGTAAACTTTTTAAAAGAGGAACTATGGCAATGGGGAAATGTAAGTATAGAGACGCAGTGGCTCACTGGCTAAGAATCTGATCTTGTTGATCGAAAGGTCGGCAATTCAGTGGTTTGAATCCCTAGTGCTGCATAAGGGGCTGAACTCCCATTACTTGTCCCAGCTTCTTCCAACTTAGCATTTCAAAACACATAAAAAATGCAAGTAGAAAAATAGGGACCACCTTTGGTGGGAAGGTAACAGCATTCCATGCGCTTATGGCATTTAGTCATGCCAGCCACATGACCACAGAGATATCTTTGGGCAGCGCTGGCTCTTCGGCTTTGAAACGGAGATGAGCACCACCCCCTAGAGTTGGGAACAACTAGCACATATGTGCAAGGGAAACCATTACCTTTTTTATAGCAAGGGAGGCAGAGATGATGCATTAATTAGTATGGTAGGGAAGACTCTGGACCTTTCAATTAAGAAATATTAACTTGGAGAATTGTAGCAAAAAACCTTACTAGATGGAACAGGTTTTCATAATGCACAGTGTAACCTTAACCAGTTATAGGTGCAGCATATTTTAAATCCAGACCAAACAAAAGTGAGAAGACAGATCCACCACAATCTTCTTAAAAAGGGTATAAAAATAACAACCCAAGAACCTCATACTCATACTTTCTATTGGAAGCTATGGAGATATCTTGAGAAAAACTATTCAAAAACCATGTTCAAAACATAGCTTGAGCCTAGGAAATAGAGAACATATTAGGAGTAGTTTCAGGTTTGTTATTTCCCAGCTGTAAAAGTGGGAAAAGATTGTAAAAGTGTGGAAAGAAAAATGCTTGCAAGATTCTGTTTCAGCCTCAATAAAATATAGTTCTAGTCTACTTGTGGAGTCTGTTTTATTCCCCCTCCTCCTCTTTTCCAGATATCAAAGCATATTTTATTCTTCCATAGATGGGATCCATGCTTTCTCCTCCCTGGTTGGGAACGGCAGGCAGCGCGGGTAAACTCAGTCAGTAGACCAATCAGGACCGGGTCTGCAATGACGTTTAGCCCCGCCCTTCCTGCTGCTCTCTTCAGTTTATCGACTCGGTCGACCTGGACGGTTTAGTCTCCTGCTGTTCTTCAAAAAAAAAAAAAAGAGCAAAACAAACAAACAGCTCTTTTAAGAGCTATCTGGGCGATCGAGAGGTCTTTCGGCTTGGAATCTCCTCCTGTTCCCTGGACGGCTCCTAGCGTCAATCAGGTTGCCGGCTGGCTCCTTATCAGGCTGGGCCCACGAGTTCGCTCCGGAGCTCTGTCCTGCAACGCGCTCGCCCCCTCTCGCCCTTGCTGACGTTTTCGCTGCTATTTGTCAAGCCTTTGCTTAGCAGCTTTTGGCGAGCCTCCTGGCGCTTCGAATTTTCGCTGATTTGTCGTGTGTGGTGCGCAGTGAGTACTGGGGCCTTCCCTCCATTTTCTCCTTCGCGCCAAAACTTGATTTGCAAGATGGCGGACT